CCCCAAATTGGGGTCAAAACATTATGAAAGTGTAAAAATAGGTTTTAATACCAGAAATACTTTGTAAAAAATTATTACCAGTAATAAATTTTTTAAGAAAAAATATTATCAGCTATACATTTTTGAAAAAAAATATTACCAGCAATAAAAATCTTGTCGGTATTAAATAACCCAGGGAGGTTGATATGACGTAAGACAAACCAAACCAAACCAAAACCAAAACCAAACCAAACCAAAACTAAACCAAACCAAACCAATCTATAAGCAAACATTCGGCTTACCTATGAGGTCACCTTTTAGTGGTGTTCTTGCTGAGAATTTTTCGAGATTTTTTGAATCCGGCCCATTTAAACACATCTTACTAGAAATCTCTACTTATCTAAGATCTATAGATAACGTTCTTGTATTATATGCTCGTGATATAAACCTATTAAACAGAATAATGAAGCTCAATAAGGTGGAACCTATCATTGAATTCAAGCATGAATTTGAAATAAACAATTCTTCACCTTTTCTCGACGTCTTATTAATAAGTAACAATAAGAAGTTAGGAGGCACGGCGGAGTAATGGTTAGCGATACGGATTGAAGAATCGGAGAGCCGAGTTCGAATTCCAGTCGAATCCATTACATTTACTGACGTGTTTATACCCTGTGAATCCTCCTCTTCTTCTCCCCCCCCAGCTATGGATAAATAGTAGGGCAGACCCGGTTTTATAGCCTTGGATGGCAGGAAAAATCTGCCTATGCGTCTCATCTCGTGTGGTATATGACTGAAAAAATTAGATATTAATGTTTATGGTAAAGCCACGAACAAAAACGATCTAATTAATTTTTATTCCCCACTAAAATCAAAGGATATTATGTCAGGACCCTCAGGATATGTAGCCATGAATACCTAAATGAAGAAGAGTTATATATATATATATATAAATATATATATGTATATGTATTAATTAGTATATATACGCGTACCTAGGTTTTTGGCGTGCGACTATGGCGCTTAATGCATATCTTTTCTCTGTATAACCGCATTGAGAACTATTGCGTTTACACCTCATGCATAAATTTAATGATTATTTATTTGCTTGCCTGCGTATGCACACGACTACACGCCTGCTTATATATATATATATATATATATATATATATATATATATATATATATATCAAATGTAATGTCAATCGACATCTCCAGTTGCCTTAATCTATCCACTACCCTTCTCCTCATCCTTTCTTCTATCACTCCTATCTGATCTTGCTCCAAATCTTCTGTAACTCCTTGCGTCCTAGTGGCTTCCCGCCTTGCTTGGGGTGAAACGCTTAATATATATATATATATATATATATATATATATATATATATATATATATATATATATTAATTTCTATAGTAACGCAAAGTCTTTGCGGCTGAGTTGGAAAACTTTCAACATTTACAAAAAAAGAAACAAAGTGTAGAGATTCTGGACAAAATTCTAAAGAAGAATCCGCGATGTTATTTGTCCTGACATGACATCTCAGCATCAATCACTTCCCCCACCGCCGTAATATTGCTTCCATTTTCCTTTTCTGGAAATATTTTCCTTGTAATTGTTTTTCCCGTTCATTTCTACCTTAACTTCACGAATTTAAACGCAGTACAAGATGTGGAATTACGTCACATAACTTTAATGATGAAATTGACACATGTGAGTGTAAGTTCTATGCTAAAGTTTTTCTCCCGCACTTATCGCTTGTGGGGAGTCTCATCTGCCTTCCTCCTTCCCTGTCAACTAAGATCTTCAAAAACTGAAATGCTATGTCAATCGCCATTGTTTTTTTTGTTGTTTTTTTGCATGAATCCAGTTCTTTTATTGCTCTCTCTCTCTCTATTATTTCCACTCTCAATTACCCCTTGCATCGTAGATCCTAGTGTCGTACATCTAAGTCAAAACTCTGGATAATCTGGCCAAAGTTCTTGTGTTCTTTCTTTTTTTTCGTTCAGTACTTTCAGCTGTCGAAGTCATTATCAAGAACCGAACGTTGTTAAGATGATAGACAATTTTGTTGGCTACAACCTGGCAATTTTGGAACGCTTCTTTTCAGTTTCAAATACGCGAGGTTTCTGGAACTTTCTCGGACAGGCCCGATTCCCAGATCAGTATTTTCATGACCAAATATCAGAATATTGAATTTCGTAAGCGGATCTAGATGAAAACTTTTCAGAAACGCCCCTCTCCGTATTTACAGCGAAATACCCATTGTACGCTGATATGCAATATACGCACGTTCGACAAAACATGTCTTTTTTCATTACTACGCGGGCACATACAAAATTTGATAAAAGAAGGCAAAGAAAATGAGAAGAGTAAAGAATGAAAACGAAGATGAAGAAATTAAAGAAAGTAAAAGAGAGAGAGAGAAAGAGAGAAAGAGAGAGAGAATAAACAAAGAAATAAAAAGGAGAATTCCAGACAAAGAAACGAAACGAATAAAAGAAACGAAACGAAACGAAACGAAACGAATAAAAGAAAGAAAGGCGAAAAAAAAAAAAGGAAATAAAGAAGGCGAAGAAAGGCATTAGGAAAAAAAGACAGAGGGAGAAAGAAACAAATGATAATAAAGAGAGAGGAATTGAAAATGATGTGAGAAGGAAAGAAATAAAAAGAAGAAAATGATAAAAGAAAGACGAAAAAGACAAGGAAAGGAAAGAAAGAAGACGAGAGAAAGAAACAAATACGTAAGAAGAAATAAGACAAGAAACAGAGAAGGAAAGAATTAAGAAGAAAGGAGGGGAAGAAACGAGCGAGAGAATGGAATAAAGAAATAAAGATAGGAAGAAAGAAGAAAGCAACAAGAAAAGAAGAATACAAAAAAAAAGCGGAAAAAGAACAGAAAAATAAAATAGAAAGAAAAGGGTATGAAAAACAGGAAGAGGAAACAAAGGTGAGAGAAGGAAACAAAGAAATGAGAATGAAACAAGAAAGAAAAAATAAGTCGACGAATTAAGGAAACAATGAAAAAGACAAGAAAAAAGACGCGAGAAAAAAAAAGAAAAAAGAAAGAGTTAATGGAGAAAATAACAAGGAATGGAAATAGAAAAAGAAAAAAGAAACAGAAGAAAGAGAATGAAGAAAGCTAGAAGAAGAGAAGTAAGGAAGAGAGAAGGAAACAATTAAGAAGAAAAATGGAAAGGAATAAAAGAAAATAAAGAAGAAAAAAGAGATGGAAAACATGAGTGAAAGAAAATGAAAGAAAAACGAGCGAAGAAAATAAAGAAGAAATAAATTAAAGAAAAGCAAAGAAGAAGAAAAAAGGAGGCAATAAAAGAAAGGTGAAGAAGAAAAAAAAACCCGGAAAGGACGGAAGGAAACAAAAAAAAAAAAAAAAAAAAAATTGAACGTGGGTAGAAATCAGGAAGAAATATCCGATAAAGAAGAAACCCAAAATAGAAAGAATGAATTAAAGGCAAAAAAAAAAAAAAAAAAAAAAAAATGATAAGAGAAAAAAAAAAAAAATACGAGGGGTTCTCAAAAAGAAAAAGAAAGAAAGAAAGAAAGAAGACGAGAGAATGAAATGAAAAAGAAAAATGGAAGGAAAACAAAAAATAAAGACGAAAAAGAAAATAAAGACGAAGAAATGATGCAAAAGAAATGGGAAGAGAAAGGGAAGCCGGTGATTACAAAAGAAAGAAAGAAAGAAAGAAAGAAAGAAAGAAAGAAAGAAAGAAAGAAAGAAGACTTAGGAGAAGGAAACAGATGCAAAACGAGGAATAAACTTAATATGCACGCTCTTCAAACCGGGCGTACATTTACGTGGCTAAATATCTCATTACATACATTAACATACATTAATGAGCGTGCGCTCACATACACAAACACAAACACACACACACACATGTATATATATATATATATAGAGAGAGAGAGAGAGGGAGAGAAAGAAAGAACGAAAGAGAGAGAGAGAGATATTGATTGGGGAAAGTAAAGGTGTCTATTTTTCCCTCCATGTACACATCCCCACCCCTATTCTCCCGTCATGTCCAGTCAGCTGTTATCAACGCACAACACCGTCAACAAATTCAGTGCGCTGAGAGGCAGCCCGACGGGTGGGGTTTCCAGTTTCACCTGAGGACGGCTCCTGGGACCGGGATGAAGACGTTGGCGCCGTTAGCAGAGCTGAGAGGGAGAAAGCAAATATAAATAAATAAATGAAAATAAAAACGTACAAAAAAAAAAAAAAAAACAACAAAAAACAATATGAACACAAAGAAAAAAAAAAGAGGCCTAGGAAATTAACTTCTTTACTCTCGATCTCCCGCCCTTCTAGTCGTATCTGATTCACTAAAGTCTGTTGTCCTATCCCGGACATTAGATAGGCCTTCAACCATCTTACTATGAGCTGCACAACCTTACAAAATTTCTCTTAATTATTTCTCTGTTATTGTGGTCCTTTTTTTTTTATTTCTTTAAAAGCCCCTTCCTTGTTCATCGTGGTTATCCTTTTCTTTTTTTTTTTACTCATTCTTGTCGATCTAGTCTTATTTCACACCTCTCATCACTTCTTTATTTTCGAAAAAGAAACGAAATAATTGCGAGAAGAAAAAACGCCGAATCGTGTCTACTGTTATCCAGTTTAAATCCAGACCGACCGTTGGACGCCATATGCAATAAAAACAACGAAAACAAAGAATAAAAAAGCAAAAATGCGAGATTTGGAACGAGAGTTCTTTTCTATTTTTCTATTTTTATATTTGTCCTCTTTTTTTTGTGTGTGTGTGTGTTTCTGTTGTTATTGCAGTCATCTTGACAGGCGAAAAGTAAGTCACGTGTCTATGACGGACGTGATCCTTTAATTTCAATTACCCTTGGAAATTTCGCTTGGGCTACGGAAAGACGACAGTTTGGGGTCATGACTTTCTCTGACAATATCGCCGACATACGTGCCGTCCTCCATTTTGCGCAAAGCGGCTTCGGTTTTTGTATGAACTGTGACAGAAAGAATGGAACTCCACTTCATCTCTAGTTTTCGTTTATATGAATTCTGTCATTTTTTTTTTAACGCCATTCTTCTTTTCTTCTTACATGATGATTTTCTTGAAAAACCTCGTGCTTCGTCTTTGTTTTCGAAAGACTTGCATTTTGATTTTGACAGCACAGGGTTTTCTTCTTCATTTGGGGGCATAAATATTCATATCCTTCATCATGGACGGCGCTAAGGTCTAGCCTTCCGCACGAAACTTTGATACGGGCCCCCTCCCTATTACATGAGGGCACAAACACTCGAAAGGAAAATAAAGGGGAGGGGGTGTAGCGTTTTTTTAAATTACCAAAAATCAGGGAATTATCCAATTTAAATAAAAATTTCAGTACATATTCATTAATTATTTACTTTTATATCGAATAGGCTTTTTTATTTTTAAAAAATCTGAGAAAATGTTATTCCTTTTGTAATAACCACCAATATTTTCATAACTAAATTTTACTCGAATAAAATGTTTAATTCTCAAATTTTTACATTTCCATAAAGATTAGTCACTGACGCATATCCGCCCCAAAAAGTTTTTACAAAGAATCCAACACAACACAAACGGTATTGTCTTAAAAATATGTTTTAAAGTCAGTATTTCAGTCTTCAAGAAAATTATTCATGTGTTGAAATCTTTAAACATTTTTATTTTTTAAGCGATCATTTTTTCGATTTTTTTTTTCTAGAAATGTAAAAAAAAAATAGGGACTAGAAATTTTATTTTAATTACGAACCGTGGAATTCTGGTTAGGATTACTATTAGTAAAAACAAAAATATAATATCAGATATCCTCCTTAATGGATGATCTCGGGAAAAAAAGTCTTTTTTTCCGAGATAAATTACCCTCTTAATTGGTTTAAAGGAACTGTTCAGAAATAAAATTACAGTTTAAGAAAACAAGGGCTAATGAAATTAAAAATTCTGCAACCCCTAGTAGGCATGAAGTAACCACGCGTTTGGAAGGTTCGGGGTAGTAAGAACTGGGCCTGTCGATTTTTATAATTGATGATTGACAAAATAACTTAGATAGAAAAAAGTAAAAAAAGCAAAAAATAAAAAAAAAAACAACAAAAAAACGCTGCTGAAATCAGTCCTTTTGGGGGCTCCATCCTCATTGGGGGTTCCTGCGTAGTACGCACCATAACGGCCATTCGGATACACGATGTTTAGTTGTAACGTCAGTTTAAAAAAATAGCTGATGGTTCTAAAACTTTGATGAAAAAAAAAAAAAAATGACAGAGGCCATAACGGGGCCCCCCAAAACGCACCCAGCCCCAAGTCGGGGGTAAGACGCACGGTCACTGTCCTTCATTATATAGTGATAAAATGTATGTATCGATTTAAGGGTAGTCGAGTGTGAAATGCAGTAAAAATATCTTTCTTTTTTGTTTGTTACTTTTGTCGAAACATGTGTGTGTCCGTGTGGGTATGGAGTTGAATGCCTTTCGATATATACATCGTTACTTCAAACAATTAATATATAACACTAAAAAAAAGCATATATACACACATAAGTGTTTGATTGTGTGTGTGTGTGTGTATGTGTGTGTGTGTGTGTGGTGTGTGTGTGTGTGTGAATATATTAGGTTGGTGCAAAAATAATGACGTTTTTGTCGTTTTTTAACGTCAAAAACGACATTATTACGTCATTATTTTGCACCAACCTAATATATATTGTTTTATATATCGAGAACAATTTTAGGGTAAAGTAAAGAAGTATGGAAAAATGTTTAGTGTGACGCGTTTCGTTCTTTAGGACTACATCGGACTAAGTTTATGTTTACGTTGAGACGACTACGCATGCGCACGAACGACAGAGCAGCCCCAAAATTTTAAAATTAAATAAAAAAAATTATTATTAAATTTTAAATTCTTAAGGTCTCCCTTTCGTCTCTCTTGCGCATGTGAAGTAAGTATCAACGTCAGCATAAATCTTTTCCGTTAAAATCCGAAACTGTGTGTTTGTATATACGAACGAAATATTAAAAATATATGATCCATGTTTATAGATTTTTTTTTCTAATGTTCATTCTATACAAGTCCATAGGTCCACAAAAGAAGGGGTACTGAATGTCGTTTTAGTATAAGCGTTAAGAGTCAGGCGTGCAGTTTATGCGTCTATGTGCCAAAGATAACGGTTGACTTGAAGAGGTTCGGGAAAGCCTCCTACGGGGATACTGTTCCACGAAGCAACGGTTCTTGGGAAGAAGCTATTCAAGTGGAACTCGCTCCTTACGAAAGGAACGAGAGTGATTCGCCTCAATGTAAGCATTGTAGCAGATCTTAGCTGCAGGTTAGTGTTTGGAAATGTAGCTCATTTTAACGTTTTCCATGGAAATATCTCTAGAGTAGTGAGAGGCTTGCAACGTTTCGTTAGTGGTGAAAGGAGTTGCAAGGTGGGGAAACAATTACGCACCCATAAAGCCGCATATACGTTTTTGAACTCTATGAAAACTGGGACGTGAAGGCAGCCCAGATATGGCAGCATACTCAATTATCAGCCTGTAAATGTAACAGGTACTTAATGGAGGGTTACATGGAACTGACCATTTCTCCAGCATCTTTAACGACGAATCGTATATATGAGTTCTAGTCGAGTTCCACTTGAGGTCTGGGTCGAGTCCCAAAAAGTGTTCAAGACAAGGGTCCTTGTTGAGGGAACACCCGTTTATTGCGATAGACGGAAAGTCAGGAGTTGCACGGTAATGATTAAAACGGTCAGATTTTGCGCATTGGGTCAAGCCAAGAACTTTTCAGCACCCTCATAAATATTCGAGAAAATATTCTACACATTTTACATGAAAAGACACACACGCGTATGCATATGTGTGTCTGCGAAGTAATAATTATATATATATATATATATATATATATATATATATATATATATATATATATATATAAAACTCCATGCCCGTTGCCCGTGCTTGATTCAAAAATCGTACGATTCATACAGCAATCGCTCTCACTTGACTTAAAATATTTTTGCTCTTCCTTTGCCTTTAAAGGAGTGCCCTTTGCCGTGCTGATGTTGCTACATGCCTTACTTCTTGCCTATCTCACACTGCAATTTTTTTCTAAGCTCTATACTAAACATTAAACTAAACATTAAATCTGTTACGAAAAAAGAACTAAACAAAATGGACACAAAATGATCAGATTTAAAAAGGACTCGTAACTGGAAAAACCGAATGAAAAAAGAATGTTAACAACAAATACTTTTTTCACACAAACCCAGTTCTGCGGAATCAGAATCAACGTTGAGTTTAAGCAAGCGAATGAGCCAATTGGAGTAAAGTGCAATGCAGATTTAAATTTTTCCCACTTGTGACCAATGCAGCTATCGATTTTTTTTTGCATGCTAGCATGCTAGTTGACATTCGTGTCAGTCAGCTGTTGGCTCTCACGCTGGGCAATAGAATCTTTCTGCCTATTTGTGGCAGCCAGGTATAGGCTCTCACTCTAATAGAAAATGGCTGCAAACTACATGAAAATTGCCGTAGAAGCATGAAAAAATCGATTATTTCCACTATCGATGGGAGTTGGGAAATGCAAAGTTGGTCTTGGCCATCCCGCTAACTTGGAGCATGTGCATGTAAATTTTGGTGCAAATCCGTCGAAAATTGCGGCCGTGCATTTGTTACACACACACACACACACACACACACACACACACACACACACACACATACTGTCTTTTATAGATAGAGATATATTTTTGTGTATATGCGTGTAAAATATGATTAGATATAGATATACATTTTTGTATTTTTTTATTATAAACTTTTATTTTAGTGGGCTCTCTAGAAAACTCTTACGTTTTAGTTGCTGTTTCTTTTATTTTACTTAAAGAGAGAAATTAATAACCACCGGCCTAGATCGAGAAGTCTTACTAAAGAAAGATTATATAAAACCTCGCCACATTACTCTTAGGATGTAAATACTTGTTCATGTTTAATATCTTCCTTGTTATTCAACCCATGTTTACTGGGTCCTCTTTGGTCTATTCAATAAAATCTCTAGTCAATGGTGGATCAACTATGAAACCACTGAAGCTTAAGCTTCAGGGTCCCTAGGAACAAATATGTCCTTGAAGTAAGTTTTTGAACGAGTGAATTTTTCAACGAAATCGATGTTTTTTTTTAAGTATTTGTGATTAAAATAAGGCAATTTTAGTGATAGAATTATAAGCGACCTGGTTGAAATAGCTAATGTTGACCTTAGAATATGCCACAATACCCATTTCATATGGCCTTAAAATTCCACTGTAATTGGTCAAATTTCAAATTTTCTTGGGAGCTTGCAATCCCCAGGTGTATAGGTTCGTTGAGCTGACCAGAATCTCTTCATAGCCTACATTTTTCTAGTTGGACCCTCGAATCTATTGTTGCTGGTTGCGAAGGGATCTCCATATCAGTTCAGTCTTCAGAGCCCCCAAAACATACGTCTGTCACTGCCTGTATCATAACTGATATTTTACAACACTGTCTGCCCAAGCATTGATGCCTGAAACCAAATTTCAACCATTCAGCTTAGATCTACAAAGTTTACTTACACGGCAAACATACTTCTCCCCTATCTGTGATTTCATCCTGTCATTGAGAGTTTTGTGGATCGGGGAGCTCTAAACCTGCGCTATCCATATTTCTTTCCCCTTCTTCATTTCCAGTACAGTACATTCCAAATGACATCCTGGTGTCCTGGGAGCATATCCTTACGGTGTTTATCAAGGAGTTCTTATTGGTAGCATACAAGTGAAGATCATCCATGAATAATAGGTGTTTGATAGGCTGTTTCTAATCCCGGTAAGCTTGTCGCCAGATTTTGTCGTATTGAGAATGAGAGTCAATGGCAGCGTGATGATCACAAATAATAAAATAGGAGTAGATAGGTTCGCCCGTTGTCCTGTTCACACTCCTTCTCGATATTTTGAACAAGTGTAGAGGTGTATCCCCTCCTTCTTTATTTAAGGTTGGGTTTCCGGTTCCGT